GGATCTGGGGCCTATAACCCCAAATCCATCCTCTTCCCTCAAAAGCATTAAAAGCTCCAAGATCTGTGTTTTTGAATTCTTTTGATTTTTTTTAAAAATGGTATCTGGGTAAACGAAGTGATGTCAGGTTACCATAGCGGAGACCCAATCAAAGCTGATCCCAGCTTTGTTCGGGTGTCTGTGCCAGCTGGTTGCTTGGGTCTCCCTGTGGGACGGGAGAGTCCATGCGACTGGGAGAAGGCGGTGGGAGGGGGGCATCCCCTCCCGCTGCTTGTAATAACAATCGAGTGGCTGGTTAGTAACTCTAATTGCTATTACAAGAGACCCAACCACAGGCTCTAAAAAAACGGTACTGGGTTGATGCCTGCAGCTGTAGTCATAATCCCGTACAACCACTTGAAGTCAGGTGATATACCTGTACGTCGATTGGCAGCAAGTGGTTAAACATGGTGTATACTGTTACCAATTCTACAATGGTATGCAAACTTTTGAGCACAATTATACTGTGAATATAATAATAATCAATTCATATACAGTATAAGTGAAATTCATATATCATCATAAACCATAAAGTCATATATCTACATAAAACAGTTCATTTTTACACTATTTAGCCATGCAATTCATATTATGTGGAACTATCAAGAAAGAAAGAAAGAAAGAAAGAAAGAAACAGAAAAGTTTAAAAGTAATTCAAAATATTTAGTCCAAAAAATCTTCATCCACCACCCACATGTATTTAATAAAACAACGCCACCAAACGTACCACCAGAACGTAACTCATTGTTTTGTTTTGATCCTCAATTCAGGAAAGCCAAAAAGCATTTGAGGATAATCTACTCAAAAAGCCTTGCTTCACTCTCAAATGAAACCTCAATGGATCATCAGGTCTCCTGGGTAGTGATCCCACATATACTGTATATGCCCAAGGGACTACATAATGATCACACATACTGTATATATGCCCAAGTCCCTGAGAAAGCCAAGAGATGAAATGCATACACATTGGATGGGTTTTTGTGAAATGACCATGTGTGCAGACAGGAACATGTGAATGTAGATGGCTTTTATCTTTTAATAAATCTCCAAAGCTGTACTTCACTATTGTGAGTCTGTCTTATTCCCTTGGGCATATGTACAGTATATGCGGAATTGTTGCCCAGGAGACTTGATTTGGTGTATTTTAACTGGAGAATGTAGAAAGGCTTTTTAAGTGGATTATTCTACAGTGCTTTTTGGCCTTCCTGAACTGGGGTCAAACAAAAGGATGAGCCACATTCCTTCGGGTGGTTACCAATTGGAGGTGTTGTTTTATTTAACATATATGGGTGGGGGGTGAAGAGTTTTTTTTTTGGAATATATATTTTTAATTATTTGTTGCAATTGTTTTATTTATTTATTTCTAATATATATATTGATGGTGGCACATTAATATGAATTGTATGGCTATATGGTATGTAAATTAACTTTTTTATGGAAATATATGAATTTATATATGTTTTATGAAGATGTATGAATTTCACTTATATGTGAATTGATATTTATTCTATTCACAGTATATGAACTGTTTCCTTGATATTAAATGGTATATTCCATGAAAGTCTAAAATATAGTGCAGAAGTCAGCCTTGAAAGCCAAATGATTAACAGTAAAACTTTTTGGCAGAGACACTTTCAGAACTTTCTATAGCATTATATCAATAAACGTACAAGATATGTAGTTCACTTTGAATCCAAGAATAACTCATTGGTATATTGTGTAAAAAACCTAAAAGACCCTTTGATGCTGAGTGATAATATTTGAAGAATTTCAGAATGTTTTGGAGCCCAGGTGTAACTGTAAGTTACAGCATATTAACTTATGACATCCAACTATGTTTATTGTTATAGAATGTCAGTAATTTTTTACTTTCTTTAAAGCCATTTTATTATTTGACAAGTGAATGTACTGCAAAGAGCATTATTGTGCATTTATTATGGTGCTATTCATGTTTTCACACCTGTAGAACAGAAAATCCCAGTTAACTGTTAAAGGATATTTAAATCCAAGAAACACAATGTAATATGTTGCAGCTTAATAATACTTAGATGCGGTGGCTACTGGGGCGGACTGACCATTTGGAAACTCTGGCACTGCCGAAGGCTCGGGGTCAGTAGGGGGGCCCCATGAGATGCCCCTGCGACCTTTTTCATAGGCTCTTTTGAGTTTGGGCAGGGACACAGGGGCCCCATGATCCCCTATTGCCCGGGGGCCCCATGAGTTGTCAGTCCACCCCTAGGTGGCTACATTTTAGTTTTCTTTTTTTCTGTAATTTTGCTTGTTAAACCTGTGAATAAGATGCTTCCTGTCCTTGGATACCTACACTCACTCTAGAGAGTACTGGTAAGCTGCAATATACAGTAATGCATCTGTGTTTTTAGTTTCAGATATCCTTTAAGGTAATGAGTAAGTATGAGCCAAAAAAATACAGAGATGATAAAGTATGTCAACAGCAATATCAGAGACGTTTTTGTTTTTCTTAATCCCCCAGTAACATAGTTTTAATACCTGTTGATTCTGCCTGTAGATCTATTATTTTTCTCCTTCATGAAACAGGCCAAGCTGTCCAGAAAAACAGGCAGTATTAGGGTTGGGAAAACCTTATTACACTGATGTGGAGAGGGGCTTACAGTGGAGAACTTTTATTCACATGGATTAATCCTTTTTGCCAAAACAAGAAATACTGTTGCTATAATTTTTAAAAAACTATTAGCTGGAGTTGGACTTTCTATGCATGTGTGCTTAAGCCTACCATGTCCACAGTATGATTTAGAATTTTGCTACAGAACAAATAGTTTTATCACTTTATAAATGGAAAAATAACAGAACTACTTGCAGGATCAACAGGCAATAATGGCTTATTACAATCTGGTTCCCCTTGACTCCACCACAGCTGAAACATACTTAGCTTGGGTTGTGGATTGCTGTTTCCTGTTTGGCTGAAAAAAGGCGTTTCATTTGTATTGGAAACAATAAAGACTGTTTAACTTTTACAAATGGCTGCCTGGTGATCTTGGACTCTCCATATTACAACTGGCATTTAGACATGGGCAATCTGGCCATAAAAGTCTTTTAAAATGAAAACTGACACTTAACCACACTTCAATACCAGGCATCTTCACCCCCTTCCTACCCATGGTAATTTTAAAGGATAAGTTCATCTTTTTGATAAAAATAATAAATAAACTTTTTTTGCAGGTAAAAAAAATCTATATTTATTATTGTTGTCTGCAGGAGGCTGTAAAGCATTACACCAGTAACCCGTAGATCGCTGATGCCATGCAGGTCTCCTGCAGACCTGTCAGAATATTTGTAAATGTACAAAAGCAGATATTCTGACATTTACCACGTTCATTGAAAACTACAAGACAGCCTTTAAGGCTGCAGGGACTTGTAGGCACTCATTCACAGAACTATGTGAATGATGAAGCGGCCTTGCCCCCATCGCTGTGCTGCTTTCACATCTGACAGGTAGTACAGGGAAACTACAGTTGCTTTGAAAAAGTATGTGAACCCCCTCGGGATTACGTGGAGTTTTTGCATGAAAAATAAGCTTGAACATCATCTTCACAACAATAGAAGAACACAGTCCTGAAAATAATACATAAATAGATGTTGCCATGGTTTAATTGCACATAACAGGAAAAGTGCAGGGAGGAAAAAGTATGTGAGGCCCCTAGCTTAATGACTTTCCCATTATTGCCAACCACTCAGTGTGATGATATTTGGATGTGTTGCTGACAGCTGTCCTGCCCTTAAATACTGGTTTCCACTGTCTGATGTAACCATGCCTCGCAGAAAAAAAGCTCTCAGAAGACCTACGATCAAGAAACTTGCATGAAGCTGAAAAGGGTTACAAAAGTATCTCCAAAAGCCTTGATGTTCATGTGTCCACGGTGACAGACTGTCTACAAATGGAGAAAGTTTAGCACTGTTGCTACTCTCCCTAGGCGTGGTCGTCCTGTAAAAATGACTGCAAGAGCACAGCGCAGAATGCTGCATGAGGTAAAGAAGAATCCCTGTCAGCAGACCTACAGAAATCTCTGGCACATGCTAACATTGACACATCTACCAGAAAACATTAACCCGTATGGATTAATGGGAGGAGGACACCACGGAGGAAGCCATTGCTGTCCAAAAAGAATATTGCCACGTTTGAAGTTTGCTGCACCTGGATGTTCCACAGCACTACTGGTACTGCGGACAGATGAAACCAAGATTGAGTTGTTTGGGAAGAACACACAACACTGTGGAGAAAAAAAGGCACAGCACACCAACATCAAAAACCTCATCCCCACTGTAAAACATGGCGGAGGGAGCCATGGTCATTGGGGCTGCTTGCTGCCTCAGGGGACAGATTGTTGTCATTGATGGGATTCCAGAGTTTATCAAGACATTTTGCAGGAAAAACGTATGACCATCTGTCCGCCAACTGAAGCTCCGCAGAGGATGGGTGATGCAACAGGACAATGACCCAAAGCATCAATTGAATTCAACAAAACAATGGCTGCAACAGCCAGAATATGCCTTCCGGGTGCCCAGTCAGAGTCCTGACCTCAATGAAATGCTGTGGCATGACATGATTCACACAGACATCCCAAGAATAACTACACTGAAACAGTTTTGGTGACTCCAGATCATTGTGCAGGTCTGATCTGCAACTACAGGGGTTTGGTTGAGGTTATTGCTGCCAGGGTCAACCAGTTATTGTCAAAGGGCACTGTGAATGTTTACATTTTATGTGCAATTAAACCATGGCAACATCTAATGTTTGCTGTATTATGTTCAGCAGACTGTGTTCTTCATTGTTGTGACTTAGATGACGTTCAGAGCACATGCCCAATTTATGAAAAACTCCAGTTCAGGGAAACTATATCTGTCAGAGAGGGGAGGGCGGGGGGCGCAGCTGCAGCTATGGGAACATGTTACATGTTCCACTCAGGGGCGGACTGACAACTCATGGGACCCCGGGCAATAGGGGATCATGGGGCCCCTATATCCTCGTCCACACTCAAACCACACTCAAAAAAGCCTATGAAAGGTACCAGGGACATCTCATGGAGCCCCCAACTACTAACCCCCGGGCCCTCGGGCAGTGTCCGAGTTCCCCAATGGTCAGTCCACCCCTGGTTCCACTCTATAAACGGGTGCAACATGTTCCCAAAGGTGAACTTATCCTTTAACCCCTTTGCGCCGGTGCCTCCCAGCCCTTTAAGAGGTTTCAGAAGCAGGGAGGCGGGACGGGATTTTAGGGTCATGTGACTGCCGTGATTCGCTGTCACAGCGGTCACATGATCGGAAAAGGTCCCGATCGCAAGGGGAGATCGAGATCTTTCCATGAGTCACGGACATATGTGCTGGGAGCATGCATGGCGCGCACTCTCAGCACATTTTCAAATGGTACACACATATGTGGCTGCTTGGCGTCAAGGCACAGACGCCGAGAGGCCGCATATTTGTGTGCGTTCGGCGTCTAGGGGTTAACCTTTCAGTGCCGCACTTTGAATGACGATCATTCATGCAACACTGTACTTATATAAATATATTTTCTTTTTTTTCTAAATAAACAAAAACATTTTTGAAAATAAATTTTTTCTTTGTTCCTGTTATAACATTTTGCAAATAAACAATCTTTCTTAATAAATTTAGGTCAAAATGTATACTGCTACATTTCTTTGGTGAAAATAACCCATATCAACGTTTATTATTTAGTCTGTAGGAATGTTATAGAGTCCACAAACTATGGTATATACATCTGACAATCAATCAATCCTGATGTACTCATTTCATGAGGCCTGGAAATACCAGGACAGTACATCACCCAAATGACCCCTTTTTGGAAAGTAGTCAAAGGTATTTAGTAAGAGGCATGGTGATGTAGTACCCTCTAGTGGTGCTAGAGAATTAGGAAAATGTAATGGCTCACTCAGTAGTTAGAGTGAGAATTTATGAGTAGGGATCAAGTTCAGGTCAGTCCAGGTTAGGCTGGATGACTCAGCAGGTTGGACCTCTATTGCCTCCACCTGGAACCATCCAGAAGCAAGTGGGCAGACGTGTGCAGACCTACTTTAGATCTGCATATTCATGGATGGGAGTCTGGCCAATCCCAGGCTGGAAGTTCTGGTAGTATGGCAGACTGACCCTGGATATAAGGAGCCCTCTCAGCAGAGGTCTGGAGTTGGGTGGAAAATGGATTACTGAAGCTGCTGTGTGGTCTGGGAGGGGACCCTGGTGAGGAGAGGTTCTGCCCCCAGGTGGAAAGTGAAGGAGAGGAAAGGAAGCTGACAGAGGGAATTCCACTACCTTACAGTCCAACAGGACAGGATAGCCTGCAAGCAGGGACAGAAACTGGCTCAATGAGAGGCCTGAATGCAGTTTACCCAGAGCTGAAGGATACAAGGACAGCGTGGATGCCTCTACACCCCTGGAGCCTATGGGAGAGAAGGATGCTGTCTGCAGTACTTAACCAGTTCTCCTGGGACAGTGCTGCATGCCTGTCTTGGAGTCTCATGCTCCAGGGTACTCTTCAAAAGACAGTCAGGTGGATGGGCATTTCCTCACTGAGGTCAGAAGAGATTTCATTTAGAGGGGACCAGGCGCTCCTCACAGAGACTGTGCTATTGATTCATTAAGAGACTGTGCCACTCTGGCTGGGGTAGAAAGTTCAGGATATATCTTTTTGTACATAATCAGGAAGTTTGTCCTCAGAATTATTACTGCAAAGCAAGTTGGCATCCCATATACCCCTAAACCCTATCCAAGTTGTTTATCCTCTAAACAGGGCAGCAAAGACAAGCTTGTGGACTGTTTACTGGCTCTGGGTGGAAGTCTGGAAGTGCATGTTGCCTAGCTGTGCAGGATATAGGGGGAACCAATACTCAGTGGTTCCTTTTGGGGGTGAGTGCTACAGTGAGTTTTTTTAAGTTGTCATTTTTAGTCACTTTTTTTGAGAAATGATGAAATTAAAAACAGTTGTTTTTTTTTCCACAATTTCTTTTTGCTGTCACCAGTGCAGTACAGCATCATCATATAACTGGTGTGGTGGTGATCAGGGATACTGACTGGTGACAGTATGTTAAAAATAAAAGGAATTTTTTTTTTATTTTTATAATTTTTTTTCTTTTTTATTCAATTTTTTTTCACAATTTTAAAAAATTTCAAATTTCACTGTTATAAACAACCATTTTTCTGAATGAAATCTATTCATTCAGTGTTTACTATTGGCTGTGATGGGCTCTGTCTTTACCATGTGACCACTGTGATCAAAGAGATCAACACAGAAGTACACAATGAATGCTATCCATTGTGTACAATTGTCATGGGATATGCTGTGATTTGTCACAGCCATCACAGGGTATCGGCAGTGGACACTGATCTGTCACCCTCTGTGTCCGGTGCATGGCCCGCAGGATGCCTGTGAGCCACATTCTGGGGAGGACGTTATATAATGTCCACCCAGAATGGCAAATGTCCCGTCATATTACTATAGGCCAGACAAGGAGGTGTTAAAGGACCAGAGCCTGTTTTTGCATGTAGAGGGTCAGAGCAGCATGGGCACTAAAAACCCCTGAAGGCGGCATATAGTAGGTGATCAAAGCCCTTGTCCAGAGAATTGTGACCCATTGGGAGGCCACGTGGGTACAAATACAGGCCCAGCAGCAGGCCTCCATGGAAGCCACCTGCCACCATGAGGAAACTCAGGTAGGCCATGAGGAAATGCAGGCACACCATGCGGAGGTGATGGCTCAGCAGCGACAGGCCCTGGCATAGGCATTCACAGCACAACAGGGCAATATTCGCTTGCTGGCTGCACAGCATGAAAGCACTCAATCACAAATTACTGCCTTGCAAGAAGTGGTGCAGTATCTCTCTTATGGACAGGAGCAAGATGCTGTTGCCCCTAGAATTCAGCTAACCATGACGGCTAGTTGCTACCTGCCAAAACTGACTCCTAGTGATGACATGGAAGCATTTCTGAACACTTTTAGGAGAACAGCAGAGAAAGAGGGCTGGCCCCAAGACCAGCGGTCTGGTTTCATCACTTTTCTCACTGGGAATCCACAAAAGGGCTATTTAGATCTATTATCTGATGACATCAAGGGCTATGAATGTCTGTTGGTGGAGATCCTGCTCACCTTGGGGTGGCTACTACTGTGCAGGCCCAAAGGGTACACAGCTGGAGGTACTGCCCCTGTCCCAAATGGTCCAGCTGGTCAAAAATTGGCAGCTTTGTCTGGTTCTCAGGAGGTGGAGTAGGCCATGTTAGACCAGCACCTGAGGTCCCTGTCCAAACAACAGTGTTGGGTGAACAACAGAGACCCCAAGACAATGGACCAACTTGTAGAAATGGTCGGGAGATACAATGCAGTGGAGGACCTGCCAGGACCTGCTAAGTCCCAAGGAGCTCTACAAGTGCAGATTGAAAAGTCGTCACCAAATTTAGGCACCAGCACTTAGGAGAGCCAGGGAGTAACCACCCCAATGTCCCAGAGTTCTGCTCCGGCATGGTGGAATGAGAATGTGCTGCACTGGAGCCATAACTCCATTGGCCATGTCCAGGCTCAGTGTTCCCTGCAGGATGAACTGTATTCTATTTTGTATGTTTTCCCTATGTATTGTACACATGCACTCCTTGTGCACACGGCACTAATAATGTTTTTATTACCTTTGCATTCCTTCAAGTCCTGATTAGAAATTAGCCTGTCTATGTAAGCCCCTTGTTACCGTAAAAGTATAATTGTAATACCTACATGATACCTATGTAATCATGTGTATAAAGAGTGTATCTTTTTGTGTCTGGTCCCTACTGTAGTAGTTATTAAATTGGAACCACTAATCAATATGAGGATAGGAGTTTCCTATCTATACAATTTTCAGTATTAATGCCCATAACAACATCTTCACACCCAGGCTCTGCTGGACTCAGGTAATATGGTAAACCTTGTCAATGCCAAAGTAGTGGGGAGAGTGAGCCCCATAACTAAGACCTTGTGGGTAGTGTGTTTACATGGGGACACTAGAGAGTGCTGGTACCAGTGAAAATTACTACTGCGTATAGCACAGTTGCCCTGTAAGTTGGAGAGGTACCCCACTTGATCCATGATATCATTGTGGGGTGGGACTGTCCTCTCTTTGTGGCACTATGGGACTATGTGAGCAGGGGACTACCTGTACAAGGTGACCTTTCCATTCCCCTTTGAAAGACTAAATACTGTGACTCTAGAAAATATTGATAATGTTACACCTGTGGTAAGCATATGGCAAATGGCAAAGCTTATGGCGCCGCTCAAAGCTGAAACAATTGTGATCACCCCATCGACAAGAAAAGAGGGGAACAGCATCCCAAGCTAATCCAGAGGCTCGGCAATGTGCAGAGGAGGGAAGATGGACACAGCTCATACAGATCCCAAGGAGTCAGAGAGAAAAAGACGCTATGTTGTGAGTGGCCTCAGCCATCACTCTGGCCATGCCTTCTGATGTGTTTTGCCCCACCCATAGGGGGCTTGGTCACAGAGGCTAGGAGAGGACAGACAGGACAGAAGCTATATAGCATCATCGGCCATGGAAACAAGTGTGTGTGCAGGTGAGGAAGATTAAAATAATTAAAAGATTATGATAAAGGAGCAAATAAAAGAGGGAGGTGAAAAAAGAGAAATAAAAAATGTGATATAAGATATAATAGGAGGAAAAAAGGAAAAGAAAAAAAAAAAGAAAATGTGTACGTAAATCAAAAAAAATACAAAAAATAATAAAAATAGTAAAGAGTAATAAAAAAAACTTAAAAAATATACAAAACTGAGCAAAACGAAGAAAAAAATTAAGAAAAAATAATAATAATGAGAGATAAGAAAAATGAGAAAAAATGTGTGTATGTGTGTGAATGTGCAATGGTAAGAAGTTTTTAGAACTGGGAGTAAAATAAATAAAAACAAATCAGAAAAGTGACATATGAAAAGTGAGCTTAAACAAAAATTAATGATGGAAGAGAGATAATAAAAAATGTAGTGAAGATGAAAATTATGTGAAAAATAAAAACAAACAAAACTAGGAATAAAATGACAAAAGGTCTGTTGTCCTTACTCAGGGACATCATGTAGGACACGGAAAAGAAGCAGGAGGTCCATGTGGTGGAAGTAGCTCAGTATCCACTGTTGTTATAAGCGTTATTATATTATATCTTTTTTATGAGGTGGTAAAAGGAGAAGAAAGAAAATATATGGGAGATTGTCTGTAAACAAACATTAAATTATTCATAGTAGTGGGTGACATCCCATTTAAAATGTATTCCTTTGGATATCCGGGTTTCGAGTCTAAATATCCAAAATACTTCTCTCTTACAGAGGAGAGAAAAGCGATTGCCAGGTCTATTTGTTCTATAACTTGTACTCTGAGAGAATGGGTATCTGAATTATGATGTACTCTGAAGTGTCTAGAAACATTGGTTTCTTTGTTCATTTTTATGTTTGATAGATGGTTCCACATTCTATTCTATAGGCGTCTGGTTGTTTGACCCACGTATTGATCATTGCATGTCTGGCAGGTGATGACATAAATAGCATATTTGGTTTGACAATTCACAAGTTGTTTAATATGGTGACCTTTGCCATTAGTGCATGAGGTGACTATGAGGGGAGGATCCCCAGCATAACGACACCTAGCACATTGTGTGGCGTTGCACCTAAAAAAAAACCTGAGGTGTGTAACCATGTGCGTTCAGGCCATCTAGAAAGAAATAGGCTTGGTGAAACCATATTGCCTATTGTCTTAGCTCTTCTGGCCACAAATTTTACATTGTTAATAAGTATATTTTGATAATCAGGGTCCCCATATAGAATAGACAAGTACTGAGAAATGATGTGTTTTATGCTTTGGTATTGGTATACATATCATGTTGAAAAAAACCTCAGACCCAAGATTTGCCTTATTCTTCTTCTTCTTACTGCTTGAAATTCTTCTGTTATTGAGTAGGCTTTGTCAGGGTGTATTTTTTACAGCTTGATGAGTATTTGAAATGAGATGTTTATTATAGTCTCGTTGTAAAAACATGTCTTCCATTTCTTTACCATGACTTTCAAAGTCCTTCATGAGATAACAGTTTATTCTAATACAGATAAACTGCCCTTTCGGAATCACATTGATGACATAGCTAGATGATAGCTAGAGGCTTGGTGTATAGAATTTTTTTATGTGGACTTTTTGAATGCTGTAACACCATAGGGTGACATTGAGGTAATTTATAGATGTATATTGTTGTTCTTCAGTAAAACAGAGATTTCAGGTGTTCTTGTTCAAAAATATGAGAGATAACTGTCAAGTAATACCTCCTTGTCCACTATGAAAATCAGAACTGTTCCTCCCAGATACCCATGTAGAGATTGGGATATGTGGGTGCAAAGCAGGCTACCATTGAGACACCTTGTTTCTGTAAATAAAACTTCTGATCGAATAGAAAAAAGTTATGTTTCAACAAGAATGATGTACTTTCCAGGATGAACAACTTCATCTCCTGATTGTAGTATATAGATCCATGTGATGTTTCGAGGCTTGAAGGCCTAAATTGTGTGGTATGAATATAACGATTGGACGTCACAAGTTAGCCACTTCAGATTTTCCGTCCAGGAGAAGTCTTCCAATGTCTGGATAATGTGTTTTGTATCTTGAATGTAAGAGGGTAATTGAGTTACTAAAGGATGAAGTAGGCTATCCATGAGATTCTTTAAGGGTACTTCCATATTATGTACTGTAATGAACTGTCCCTTTGTGATAACATTTTGCCCTTTCTGTTCCTGTTTTATCTCCTTGTTAAGTGGTCTTCCCGTTCTACCCTTTTTAAAGCTGTATATGTTTAGCAGTTGTTATGTAGACAGGCATTCTACACTGTCTGTTTAGGGTAATGTGAACTTGTAGTCTTTCACTTTTCTAGATTTTATACTGTGCTGATTGCTGTAGAGTTTTGTTGTGGGGGGGAAAACCAGGTGCCAGACTGTCTGGTGGGGGGGGGTGTAAAGGGGGCAGGGTTTAACCAGGATGTGCTGTATAAACTGAGCTGTGTTCAAGAAAGCATTCATTCATTCACCCTACACGAAGTTCCGACTCGTGGTTTGGGATATCGTGGAAGATTTGTCTTTGAGCTGTAATACCCGCCTTGGCAGATCTCTGGAAGACTTGCCGGAAAAGGGGACCATTGGCTGAGACGCATCGATCCGCATGAGGAAGCACAGGCGGAACGGTTCCGCCACATGTACTTTAGGCAAATGGTGGAAAATGGGTAATCACTGGAGATTCAGGTGCAAGTTTTTTTGCTTCACCTGATTTTAGGAGATTCCAACTAATAGCCTCTTGTATAATTCTGTCCAATTCTTGTCTATACAGAGGGGTGGGGTCCATGCTGAGAGGTTCATATACTTGTCTGTTAGTTAGTTGGCGTAGCGCTTCCCGATGATAATCAGAAGAATTCTATACTACCACTGCTCCCCCTTTGTCTGCTTCCTTAATGGTGATTTTAGAGTTATCCCTCAAGTTCTGGAGGATCCTCTTTTGATTTGAACTTAAGTTAGATGTATCACTTCTTGGAGAGCTTGCAAGCTGTCACTCTAAAAGAACTAACTCTTTCTCAACAAGTTTTTGAAAGAGATCCATATTCTTACCTCTTGAATGCACCGAGTAAAAATCAGAGCATTGTGTCGATGCGACATCCAGATGTTTTGGAGTCTAGATCTTATCTGTTGTTAGAATCCCTGAATAACCTTGAGAGTTCAAACAACTCATATCATGTATGAAGCAGAGATCAAATTCATTATGATATATCTCTGGGCACTGTTGGATCTGTGGCAAATTATGTGTTTCTGTATGTAAGAAGTGCTTTTTAAGAGTCAGACACTGTGCAAAATTGTTCACATCAATAAGTGTGGAAAAAAGATTGAAATCCTGTGATGGTGCAAAATTTAAGCCTCTTGATGACACTGCTTGCTCCTCTGCTGATAGATCATAATCCGAATAATTCATGACCAAATTAATTGGGCATTGGTATAACTTTCTTTTACCACAATGTTTATTCTTCCTTAGTCTTTTCTTTTTTGTGATCGTCTTTTCCCCCCTTTACTCTTGTCTTTGGGGGGATAGTAGTACTTTTTTGACTAAGGAGAGTCGCTGTCCTTTAAAAAGGTGTCCTTCAATTTCTTTTGTCTGTCCTTCATACCAGATGTAGATGAAGATGAGGAGACTCCTGTTATTTCTCCTTCAGTTTCCGAAAAAAGCTAACCCTTTTGGGAGTGGCAATAGGCATAGAGGCTGTTCTATGGATGGAATGTTTGTGTCTACCTGAAGTATTGGGTCTATTCTGTGATCCTGAAGTGATCCATTTGTAAACTGTTCTCTCCTCGTAATCTGATTTATCTCTTTGGGATTTTGATCTTTTTGTTTTCATAATGTCCTCTTCTAGATTATTCAGAGATTTGACCATTTTTGCTTCCCTTGCTTGAAAATCAGATTGGTTGCAAAATTTCTCTAAATTCTGCAGCAACCATACTTCTCCCATTCACTGCCCAACCTGGAATTCAAGTGGAAAGAGCTAATTTAACTACTCCCCTTGATTTTTTGGAGCTGTTTTTCATGGAATATCTGCATGCATTGATTGTGTATCAAAGCAATTTATATGCACAACAATTTATCACCGCCAACCCAAATTCAAATCTTGCCACACCATTCACATGGATACCCATTACGGTTTCTGAATTTAATTATTTCTGGGCCTAACCCTCAACATGGGCATTACTAAAAAAATGAATTGCGGTTTTATTGGTCCACAGACCCAATTCATCATATGCCCGTGTTTTTTGCTGCCATAGCCAGGCATAGATATGAGAGTATAGTGTGTTTTATGCATTTCAACAACAATACACTCTGTCATCCTCTAGGTGACCCTGAATTTGACCGGCTCCACAAAATTCAGCCACTTGTAAATCACCTTAACCAAAACTTTGCAGATGTCTATACTCCCCAGCAAAACATCTTCGTTGATGAGTCCCTCATTCATTTTTCTGGCCGTCTTCCATTCAAACATTTTCTCCCCAGCAAGCATGCCAGATATGGGGTCAAGATGTATAAGACCTGTGAAAAGGCAACAGGCTATGCTTATAAGTTTTGGATTTACGAGGTAAAGGATAGTCACGTGGAGCCCCCCGGATGCCCAGACTAAATGGGGAGCAGTGGCAAGATAGTTTGGGACTTGGTGTCATCCCTTTTCCATATGGGGGGTACCACTTATACGTGGACAATTTTTATTCAAGTGTGCCACTATTTAGACATTTTTACAATCTTGGAACTGGCGCATGTGGCACCATGCGACTTAATGTGTGCCCACCATTAAAAGTGGGTGGATTCAGGGCGGTATATTGTAATGGTGAGCACAGGGGCGGACTGACAACTCATGGGACCCCCGGGCAATAGGGGATCATGGGGCCCCTGTGTCCTTGCCCAAACTCAAAAAAGCCTATGAAAAAGGTACCAGGGACATTTCATGGGGCCCCCTACTGACCCCAGACCCTCGGGCAGTGCCTGAGTTTCCAAATGGTCAGTCCGCCCCTGGGTGGGCATACCGCACACTTTTTCTGGCAGAGATTTCTTCTCTTTTTTTCATTCAGCCCACAGGCTGCATACAAAAAAAAAGAACATAGCATATATACCCAACAAGGACCAGCGACGTACTGGTACATCACTGGACTTTGAATGGTTATACCAGGATGATGCCTACAGGCATCATCCTGGTATCGTTTTTTTTTTCAACCTGCAATGGTTTTCATGCAAAAGCAATCCTAGTGGCTAATTAGCTGCAGGATTGCTTTTACAAACAGCCGGAGATGATGCCTCCCTCCCTCACTGTCTTCCACGGCCTTCTCGAGCAGTCCTGTGCCATCAGGGGAACCTGAGAATGCAGTTGGTGTTTCTGCCAGCTGACCATAGAGCTGATTGGAGACCAGAATGGTGCCAATCATCTCTATAGTATAAGAACTCGGAAGCTACGAGCATTTCATCACAGTTTTGCAGGATATAAACAGTGCCATTTGTAAATTGGGAAAGCATCTGATCACACCGATCTTGGTTTGATTAGATAATGTAAGGGCAGAGGAGATATCTAGAGTCTGATAGACCCCAGATTTCTCAAAAAAGAATGTATGACAATGCCCATTGAAATTATAGGAGATATTTGCATTCCCTGTGATAGCATTCAAAGTGATAAAAAAATGAAAGGGACAGTGTAAAAATAATAAAAAAAAATCAAAACTTAAAAAAAAAAAAAAAAAGCAACCTTGCCTTCCCCGCGCGCATACCTGTGTGCGCCAGGATTGACCCTGCACTGGTATGTAAACAGCAATTTCACCATGTGAGGTATCGCTGTGAACGTCAGATCAAGGGCAGTAATTCTAACACTAGACCTCCTCTGTAAATCTAAAATGGTAGCTTGTAAAGGCTTTTAAACGCTGCCTATGGATATTAAAAACGTATGCAGTTTGTCGCCACTGCACGGGGCATGCACAGTTTTAAAGCATGTCATGTTTGGTATCTATTTACTTGCCATACCATCATCTTTTATATTTTACCAAAGAATTGGCCAATATATTGTATGCTGTTACACAGTTAATATTTATGTTAATGTACATGAGAATTCATACAGTTTATTCTTTGTACCATTTTCTATGGATATTTCTATAGTTAGTTATATGCTGCCATCCAGTGCCTTATTTGGTAATACACTTTGTTTTTCATGTTGCCTCCCTGAGATCTATGACACAGTTCCTTTGTATATGAAGCTCCTCCCTTCTTTATGAGTTCAGCACTTCCTGTGTCATGGATGCAGCTAACAGACCACATGTAACAGGGACACATGTATTCTGCATAGTACGCTACGGAAAGTATCATCTTTTGACCGCATAATACTGGAAACCATTCATTCTGCTGTATCCTGTTGTCACATGTACAGAATAAAGCAACTTCTGGATGAACACAGTATTGGTGAGTTCAAGCTATCTGATAAGGATTGTCCACAGTGATTATATCTGCTTATACAGGCTAGGCAGAGAGGTCTCACAAGGGATAAATCGCTATCACAACAATCTGAGTCAGAATATATTGTGTTTTTTTGTGCATTAAAAGTAAAAAAAGTGCATTTTTTTTGTTAAAATTGTGTTTGTTTACACTTCCTGACTACCTATCAAAGTTTCGGAGGCCCTGAAATGCCAGGATAGCACCAAACCCCCCAAATTACCCTTTTTTGGAAAGTAGATACCCCAAGGAATTTGAGAAGAAGCATGGTGAGTATTTTGCCAATCTCGTTTGTTGCCACAAGTTTTTGGAAAGTGAAGAAAAAAAACTAAAACATTTTATATTTTCTTTTTTTGTATTTAGGGTGTAGGTTAGGGTGTCTACAAAAGCTTTTTGTAGCTTAGGGTGTCTACTTTCTGAAAAGGGGTCATTTGGGGGTGTTTGTACTATTCTGGTATTTTAGCACCTCAAGAAATGTGATGGGCAGTGAGAAAGTAAAAGCTGTGTAAATTCCATTATCTATACCATAGTTTTGTAGATGCTATAACTTTCACACAAAGCTATCAATATACACTTATTGCAATTTTTTTAACAAAAAGCATGTAGCAGAATACATTTTGGCCTAAATTTATGCTGAAATTTTAGTTTTTATTTTAGATTTTTTATGACATAAATGAAAAAATATCACTTTTAAAAAAAAAAAAATTTTTTCAAAACATTTTTTGTATATAGCACCAAAAATAAAAAGCACACAGTTGATCAAATACCACCAAAAGAAAGCTCTATTTGTGTGAAAAAAGGACATACATTTCATATTTGTACCGTATTGCATGAACGCGCAATTGCCAGTTAAACTAGCGCAGCGCTGTACAGCAAAAAAAAATGGCGTAAATTGCAGTATCTATACCATAGTTTGTAGACGCTATAACTTTCACACAAAGCAATCAATATACACTTATTTGGATTTTTTTTACCAAAAACATGTAGCAGAATACATTTTGGCCTAAATTTATAACTAACTTTGAGTTTACTATATATTTTTTATAGCCGAAAGAAAAATATTGTTTTTTTTCAAAAGTTTAATAAAAAGCGCACAGGTGATAAATACCACCAAAAGCAAGCTCTATTTGTGTGAAAAAAGGACATAAATTTAGTTTGGTGTACAGCATTGCATGACCGCGCAATTATCAGTTGAATTAGTGCAGCGCCGAGTAGCAAAAGGAGGCCTGGTCATTAAGGAGGGGGTAAATCCTCTGGAGGGCAAGTGGTTAACTATGTAAACTATTGTATACATTTACTGTTCCTTTTATTGCCCCTGCAGTACAGCAGCATAGTCCACTCATATAAAAATGTACATATATAACATGAAAATGATTATGTATGTGTTAATAACACTACTGATTATTTTACCTGCACTTGTTTAGCTCTTTGAAACATTTCCAAATAATGAAATACTATATTTTCCAATTTGACAAGTCAAGCTTCAACAGGAAATGTCATAAGACTGCTGAGGCAGGAATATTTCATGATGGATCCAGAAGTAGCTATCTTAACATTTTGGACCAGTTTGCTAAGAAAACAATCTTCAAACGGTGTATGTGTTTGTATAACAAAACTGAATTTCACCAAGGGAATAGGAGATGAACATGAGCAGTGTTTTTTCAACATGGCCAGTGGTGCAGCAGACAGATTAAATGCTACAATTTAGAAAAATGAGGTTTCTTGTCCAGCTTTTCATAGTCATTGGGGTGAGAGAGGATTAACTGGAAACTCACAGCTGGCAATGGACGACACGTGGCTGCTGTGAAACAAAGATGCATGATCCAAAACTTTAAGTTTATGCTGTTTTTTGCTGCATTTTGAAAAATGAATGTAAATAAAAAGGACGCCTAATGTATGTAGACATAAGCTATTTTTTTGCATCCCCTGCTGCTCTAAAATCTAAACTGGTACTAAAACCGTTTTATTAATTATTCACCAACAGGTCTTGGTTTCCCTCAGGCTGCTAGATCTGCAAAATATTCACAACAGAGGTCAAGTTGGTGCTGACAAAACCCAGAACTTGGGTTTTGGCAGAGCTACTGATTGGCTGGTTCTGTCTGAACATTACTGAATGGCCATGTTATTCTACTAAATGTTTCTTCAAAATTTTCAGTCTTTTTTTGTTTATAGTGCAAAAAATAAAAAGCGCACAGGTGATCAAATACCACCTAAAGAAAGCTCTATTTGTGTGAAAAAAGGACGTACTGTAAGTTTTGTTTGGGTACAGCATTGCATGACCGTGCAATTATCAGTCGAATTAGTGCAGCACCGAGTAGCAAAAAGAGGCCTGGTCATTAAGGTAAGTAAATCCTCTGGAGGGCATGTGGTTAAGTATGTGAACTATTGTATACATTTACTGTTCCTTTTATTGCCCCTGCAGTACAGCAGCATAGTCCGCTCATATAAAAATGTACATATAAAACATGAAAATTATTACCGAATGACCATGTTATTCTCTTTACTGGCTGTGTTCCAGAAAACTGCCGATAGGAGTTTTTGCAGAAGTTTAGGTTTTAAGGCATATAGGGAGAGTCGGGTTGGGGGGGGGGGGGTAGAAAGGGGTGCCAGGGTTCCATGAAAAAATCTGATAGTAGATTGGAATGTGATTGTTGTGTTCTATTGCACTGTATTTCAGGCCTTGTGATGCCTGTTGAGAATTGATCTCTTATTGTATAAAAAAGGTCATCTTTATTTTTTAAAGTATTCCACTCTGGAAACAAGACACTATGATGTATTTTATTTTTCCTTAGTGGAGCAAAAACATTCCCCCTAAAGTTTATAAAAATGAAAAATATATTAGTTGTATGTCTATTTTTTGGAAACTGAATATACTGTATGCTACTTAGGAATATAAATGTATATTTGAGTTATAAAGGTTAGTTGTTGTCTTGGGTCAGATTGTTATATAAAATTGGCCTTGCCCTACTTCAGCCTCCTACATATTGCAATACAGTTTACAGATTGGAATAATATATCCTTTTCTTCACTAGTCCATTTACTTACAATAACTGGGAAGCTGTAAAGACAGAAGCTTAGCTTTTGCTGTGTCTCGGGGTAAAAGTGGATTTTTCTTCATACAAGATGTAAAACAGCTTTTGAATAATCCACAAACCGCTTAACTGGACTTTTAGCATCACAAAAGTATTAGTAGAATTTCCTGCATCAAATAATGTAGGCACCTCGTTCACATCAATACATCATAAAAATACATCCTAGCTTCTCCAGCTCTTTAAGATCTTTTCTTGAAGGGAAATGGACCTTGTGCTTGCATGCTCCAAAACAGTGGGGTTTATTTGCCATTAACTGCTGTCACATAATATCTCTTTACAGAGCTAGATGCTTGCACTTCCATAAGGTTTATGAGAGTTTGAGAGACTTATATGAGGGCAGCTGCCTTCTCTATACAAACTAGTGTAATTGGCCTTGACCAGACAATGTTGCCAGTAGCAAACTGCACCCTTTTCTTTACCAGACTGGCATTCCCAGTGCTCTAGTTAAGCTAT